GGCTTAGAGAGGCTTTTGTATAAAAGGCACAATCTGTCGGAGGGCAGTGAGGGACAGGATGGTTTAAGGAAATAAAAGTCAAGGAGGAAAACGCAAGGCGACGTCTACGAACGAGACAAAGAGGAGGGTTGATGCGGACATGACAAGAAGTGACAAGAGACAGAGGGGTGAGAGTGCGACAGAGGGAGGTAGACTTCAGAAACATATGATTGGTCACTACTGCCAACATTTGGAGCACAAACACTCTTTACTACACACACATTAGATACATCTCAGAGCCTCTCCGGCAGATTTCAGCATGTTAACCTGACTCACCCCATCTCACCCTGCCACACGGGCTCCACAGGGGTCAGGGAGAGAGGGGCGGGGACACAGAAACTGCATTAGTATTGGGACAAAAAAGTGGGAAATGAGAAGAGAAAAGCAAAGAGAGGGGGAGAAGAAAATTAGGAGGTACAGGACGGTTTAGAGGAAGTCGTGAAGCACCGCTGAGATCAGTGGGGTAGAAATTAAGTGCGCTCTTTTTTGGCGGTGTAGGGAATGCAGGGGGGGGGGGGGGCGAGGAAAAATGAAGAAGGGGGAAAAGGGGAGGGGAAGGAAGGCGTGGAGTAAATTACAGAGGGAATGAGAGCAATCGGAAGGAATAGCAGGGTGGCTGATGTGCCTGGAGCTGGAATTGTGGAGCAGCAAACAACAGAGATAATAAGAGAATCTGCTGAAGGCACGCGCTCCACTCAGTAATTATATGGAAAGAGCAGCCTGGCTTAATTAGAACAGGATGGAGCTCATGAGTTTGACAGAAACAAATACACATGAAACATAGCATTTGCAAGGTGAATTATTACATCATTTATTATTCCCCCGCGTGTTACCGCTGGTGGCATTTCTTAATGAGGTTCATGGACATGCGAGCGCTCATCACCGCTACTACATATATGCAAATGTGCGAACGCATGCAGAGTGGAGATATAAAGGAACAGTCATGTGTGCGCTGCATGCAACTTGCTGACCGAGAGCTAAGGCAACGGATGATTCTACGTGTGTCACTTCTAACTGATCTGTGTATTTAATGATTGGCTCTGCTCCTACACCTTTATTATTACACAAGGTAGGCTGACGAGGCACATATGTTAATTTTCAATAACATCCTCCTTCACATTCACAATTAGAATCTGGTCAAGTGCCTCACAGAGCGACTGGGGATTAAGTGTTTCTCATTTGTTTGTTTTTACATGCCATTCATTCATTCTTAATACAGTGTATTTGTGGTGACTCCATTTCAAAGAGATGAAGGCAGAGAAACCGAGAGTGATATCAGATTACACTGCATGAATTTGCTCGTCAGCTTTTCTACAATTAGACATCCATTCAGTTATTATGCGCAAACAATGAAGAAGAATCTGAAATCTGATGTTCTAATCTAATGGATGCTAATATTTCTCTTTTAAATTTTTATTAAAACCTCTTTTTTAATGCAGTCACATGTGCCGCTTTTTAATCCTGGCGCTGTGACTACGAATGTGTTCTGGTGCCAGTTTTTTTATTTGTATTTAGAGAATAAGCATTTGTGGGTGATTGCCATGTCTGCGGCTGCTAATACAATTTAAATGTTTGCTTGGCTGCATTATGTGTGCTGTGAATCCTAGCTACCACAATGTAGTGAAACAAAATATGTGCTCCATGCTACTACAAACGTATACTGGTGCCAGTGTTTTATTTTTTATTAAGAGAATAAGAATTTGAGGGGGGGATTATGTTTGAAATAAACTGCCTCTGGAGGGAACATTGGGATTGTAGCCTTTGCAGTCCATTGACATGCACAATAACCTACAGTATATAACACACTAAAGGGAAAAGGGAACACCACAAGGAGCATAATTGGGCCTCTTAAAAACCAAATGCAGGTGATGCTTTTGCTAATACAATTTAAATGTTTGCTTTGCTGTGTTATTTGTGCTTGTGAATCCTAGCTGCCACAATATAGTGGAAATAAATGTGTGCTCCATACTACTGAAATGTTACAAATGGCATAACACCGTGGAGAGAAAAAAACACAAACGGACTATTTGTGAGGTTTTCTTGTTACATAAAGCTAACTTTAGTCAGTCAGCGATTCGTAATAATGGGAAGATGCATAATGATAACAGATGCTGAAGTGATCCAGTTTTGCCCGGGTCTGTTGTGAAGGTTACACTGTGTGTGGCACCAATATTCCTCTCCACTGCACAACACTATCTGCTTACACCATTATCAGTAGCTTCTCACGGGCTACTCAATACTATTGACCTGCACCGAGAGGCTCAGTGCATTTGCACTCACTCAGTATCACAATTAGACCCAGGAGTAAATAAGACGTAGTTACAATACCTGCATACAGACACGCGCAGAACTTATTGTAACATAATGGTTATGAAATCATTGCCAGCCTTGCATTCATGCTTGTCATACAGAAAACTCTCTTAAACACACTGCTGTTATCCACCATTTGTATCAAGCACAAAGAAACCCCATGTCTCTCTTGTCCACACGAATGAAATCAACCTAAGTGTGTGTGTGTAGCTGCAGGTACAGCATGCTAAAGAATGCGTGTCCTGACTATATGTGAGTATGAGCAGTCCCAGCGCAATTCTTCAGTTTAGTGGAGCATTACGGCTGATCAATAGCTCTGGTGCGGTGGGAGATGTCTGAGGTTGGAGGTGCATATTCATACCAGTATGTACGGCAGAGCAGAGGAATGAGGCACTGCAGAATGTGTGTGTATATATAGGTTTTTGTGAGGGTGGATTGCTCTAAGGGGGGGCATGACAGGCCCTGTCACCTAGCAGACCACACTGTTACCAAGTTACTTTATGGAACCCAGGGAAGGTTGAGCAGCAAAGACACAGCATATCTCTTCCTCTGGGCTTCCTGTCTTTATCAGTGCTGTCACCGGGCTTTAACATCCTCGTCTGCTCGCTCCTTTGGCAGCAAGCCCAGCCTGTCCTTTTACTCCCTTTGCTCCTGCTTTTCCTTCCAAAGTTTCTGATCCTCCCGTCACTAGTTTTCTTTACTCCCTTTCCAGTGTTTTCAGACTTTGCTGACGGCTCATTATTCTTCTGCTCTCTGTGTCTGTTGTTTCGTCTGTCCGTCAGATTTTATTGTCTTCAGTTGAGATTTTATTGTAGAAAAAGCCTTGTTGGTAATTACAGAGCGCAGGTCAAGCAACACTTACTTTGTTTTGCACACAGGCCAACTGCCAATATCAGTGGGCAGTGCTCATCTCCAACAGAAGTGCTGCAACACAGCCAAAGTTCTGCATCACTAATGATCAGCATTGTTGATTCTAGCAACTTTATGGCCAATACTTTTTCAATTTGTACTCTTTGTCGAGCCAAGTGTTATTTCTGCTTTCCCTTGTGTGTTGTGCTTCTACCATTCTTTTGTGATTCTTTCCAGGTGTCCTTTTTTTTCTTACCCACCTGCCTGTTTGTTACCTTTGTTCTACTTCTAAACACATCTTAGTCATGCACTCCCCTATGCCCAAACTTCTTTTGACAGATGCAAAAATCAAATGGTCCCAATTCTGTTTAAAATAAATGCATATATCAGCATGGTATCTCAACAGGGATGGATAGGGCCCAGTGCACTCATTGAGGTGAAAGAAACAACGTTTAAACTTGGATTTATAAAATACCCGGCTTTAAAATCACAACCATAAAACATCACCATTATCTAGGAGACAAAACTGAACACTCTATTACACCCAGTCTGCTGTCGAATGACTACAACACCCACGTTGCATTGCACAACAATGCAAGATGGAGTGTGAAAGCCAACAGCAACAGTCGGCAATCTAACTGGTGCTGCGGTATGAGCAATAGGTTGTGACAAAAGATTCCAATACTGTCCATCTCTGTTTACGTCAGAGTGCCACAAGCTACGCCTTCTCCAAGCTTCATGAGAGTGTGTGTATGTGTGTTATTTCAGGACACAAGCAAATGTTAGAGGAGAGGCTGTGGTGTTAAACTCAATAGGGCACTGCAAAATACCACATTAGTCACTGAATGCTTTGTGTGTAAGTGTGAACAGACAGGCTTACGGTCCATACCACGCCTCACATGTCGATAACACTACGCATGAAGCGATATTACATCACAGAGCGATCAAGGCCCTCAGCATGGATGTCATTTTTGAACAATAGCTGGCATGGATTGAAACGGAGCGCTTCTATATTTCCAATGTACCCTCCTTTTAAAAATAACCTTCACTCAGTAATATTCCCTTTGTTTTGACACTTGTTAACAGAGATTCCTTCCTGATCTTTTCCCTCCACATGCAATTATTTCTACTGTTCTCCTTCACCCTTACAGTATCTGTTGCATCTTCACAGCTCCAGTATCTTTTTTCACACATTTCAACCCTTTCTGTCTCATCTTACATTTTCTTTTTCTACTCTAACATGAAAAGCCAGGTTTCTCATTTACAACTTCTCTCCGTATTCTGCTATCCTTTTATTCTCACCTTGCTCCCTCTCTTCAGTGTAACTCAAACACCTTATTAAGTCATTCCTGTCCATTATTTGAAGATGTAATAAGAATATGGGAGTGTGAAGGAAGAAGAAGAAAGCAGACCAATTCTTTCAATTGAATTCTAAGACAAAATGTATCATTTGATTCATCAATCTGTCTTGCCAATTTTTGCAATTGTATCTGGAAGGGGTAATTTCCAAGTTCAAATATTAAAAATATTTGTTTCAAGGATCCCTACTTTCTGTGTTTTACTTATACCAGAGAGTTGTTTTCACAGTTTCATGTTGTTTTGAACAATATCGCCTGCAGTGAAATCCATTCACTTCCCTATCATCACATCTGTTTTACAAATATTTAATTGCCTTGTCCTTTCATTCTTTTGTTAAGATCTCCTCAGACAATCTCTTTTTGCTCCTTTTGTTCCCCCCCTTTTGTTTTCTGGCCTCTTTCATCAACCCATGCTATCCAGCTGTCTATTTATTTATTTCCTACCTTCACAGCTGCTGTGTCCTTCCTCGTAGCCGGCGCTGCAGCTGCACTTCCCAATGGGCACCAGCCATTCCCCCTCGGCGCTGCAATGCATCCTGGGAGGGCTGTCAGCGTCCACCTCGGAGTTGTTGACGCAGTTGCCGCGCACCTCCACCAGCGTTGCGAAGGACGCCTCGGCCACCGTGTCGGGGAACACTGCCAGGTTCTGCACGGTCGCTAGGCAACGCTTGTAGTACACCCGCACGGCCACCAGGGCCACGCAGGCACCCACGTCCTGGAACGCCAGGTGGAAGCCCTTCCTGTTGAGGTGTCCGATCTCACGCACCTCTGTGTTCAGCTTCATCTTCCTCTCGCCCAGGTCGCCCTGCGTGAAGCTCTCGTCGGCGGCGATGGTGTCGATCTTGGTGTAGCGGTCTTCCCGGGTCACGCCCCCCAGGTCCCTGTCCGTCTCCACGTAGAGGAGGTTGAACGTCTCCTTGCATGTTCCCGCCACACCGGGGATGCTGTTGCAGTCGCGAAGCGTGAACTGGAGCTCCACGAAAATGCGCTGGCCCCCCCGACGCGTCACCCAGCCGGTCTGCAGCCAGTTGTTCTGCTGCATGGGCTCCATCACGTTGCACACCTGGTATGTCCGGATGGGTTTGTACTTCTCATCCACACCACTTATCTCCTCCCACTGGAGAGAGGGGGGCAGTGGGAGAGGGGGGAGAAGAGGAGAGGAGGACAACAATGAGTATTAAAAGGTGGAAGTGGTGGTGAAGTCAAGAAGATAAAAGAAAGAAAAAGGAATGAAGCACAACCGGCAGAGATGGCAAAAGTAAACACATCCTTTACTCAAGTAGAAGTACAGATACTCGTGTTTAAAAATACTCTGGTAAAAGTAGAAGTACTGACTACACTTTTTTACTCAAGTAAAAGTAAAGAAGTGTTGGCTTCGAAATGTACTGAAGTAAAAAGTAACCATAACTAGCAGCTGTTTTAAAGAGTACCTGACCTCCCTTTATATTAATAGAACAATGATGACATTGTTAGCTAATGAATGTTTCCAAGTAAAAGTTTAAAGTCGTCAGAAAATTAAGTATTGCAGAAAAGTTCTGATACCAGAATCATGTACTTAAGTACGGTACAGTAACAAAGTATTTGTACTCCACTGCTTCCCACCTCTGACAGCCAGAAGGGAGTCATTGGTATACTGTATATTTTTAAAAACCGTGAAGCAAATCGATAACATGAGGGAGTGAAGAGACAGAAAACAAAGCAAAGAGATGTGGGCAGGAGGCAACACAGATAATCAAAGACAAAGTCAAAAGTCAGAAAACGTAAAAACACATTCAATACCCATTAAAGGTCTAAGGACATAATGTGATGAGTGGGTGTTTAAAAAAGCATTGGCACTCAGATTCCTTAATAACGCCACAGAGAAAAGAAACCACACGACCCCAGTCATTACATCAGCCTTGAGAGATGTTTCTGAGCAGTGGGTCAGACATTAGTCATGGTTTGCCGGTTTCCTTTTATATCCACCGCCTTTCTCAGAGTGATGGCATTTCATAGGAATGTGTTCAACAACACCCACAACTTATAAATACCTTTAGATAATGGGCAAATTAATCAAATATATACATTCATTTATGTCATTTTCACAAAGGTTTGCCGTAGTTTTTTTGTTTGTGTTTGTTATTTTGTCTGACTTCATGTGGAAGAGCAGTTATCATCCCAGCTTTATTATTTCAAATATTTTGTTAATCTTTCTATTGTTTTAATTTACAAAAAAACATGGCTTTTGTTTGTCCACAATCATAAAGGTGTGTTTTTGCAGAGTACAACAATGCTGTCTTTGTTTTAAAATTATTGTTAAATTAACTTAATCAATATTTCAATAAGATAAGCCCATACTAAATGGTGTATGTGTATATAATATGTTTGAGTTTTGGGGGAGGGTATTGCAATATTTGACATACTAAAAATGGGATTTTCTTTTCTTTTTAAATGAAATATGGAAAGAAGGTTGACCTTGCCACTCCCTCAGTTCAGTCAGACAACTCACATGTTTCTTTAACATGTTTATTAGAAGCAGCATATAGTTGAGTTTGGCGTCTAGGCTCGGGCCTCATCACTCCATATACATAGCACGATGAGTGATGATTAAATAACTAACCCCCCTACAGGTGGAAGCTGGGGTGGTGGTGGGGCAGGCAAGCAGCAGCGGCGTGGTAATAGCTGCAGCAATAGCAGCAGCAAG